TTCCCACTGCTATTTTATGCCATTCCTTGTTTGTTGTGGCTCATTCCCAATGTCTAGATCCGGATCGGCAGTGTGTGACACTGCTGTCATTAAGTGGTACTGGAGCCACTTCACTATTCCCTACTAAATGTACTTTTTACTATTTCTCCTTCCCTTTCTTTTACTCTTTGCTTTTGTTTTTTCTTTTGTTTTGTTTTTTTTCCCTTAGGCCTATCAGGAGCATTCAGATATATTGTTTGTTCTCACTGTTACTATTCAGGGCTAAAATATTTATTGGAGATCAGTGGTCCCCAAGCATTGGTCTGACTGCCTCAGAATCACTTGGGGAACTTGATTTAAACTACGTATTCTTAAGCCCCACTTCCAGAGATTCTAATTTAGTATATCTAGCTGAGGACCAAATATGAACTTTTAAATCCCCTGATTTCTTTACATAGCTAGCTGTGGGAATCACTGCTCTTATTGGTGATTTCTTTTGTCACAATATCTGGAGATGACACCTGGACACCTTTGTTTTTAATAAGTTCAGTATGACTCATGTTGAATATCAGGTGTGTGTGTGTGTTTTCCAATAAAACTCTATTAACAAAAATAGGCAATAGACTGATTTGGCCCAGAGGTCATAGTTTGCCAACCCCTGAATTAGCTCATTAATCCAGCCAAATGTTTTCAGTTGGTAAACCCCAAAGATGTCTGGCCCAGTGCATTGAACCCAGTCAATGCTTTATTTATAATAACAGAACAGTGACAGTAATAATAACAACAGTAATCAGAGCCAACATCTGTCAGACACCCACTAGGTTCTAGGCACTATGCTTTACACAATCTGTTTGAGGGAATCTCCAGGGCCGAGTATCACAGTTCTTCATGAGAAAGATAACAGGTACCTCATATTTCACTCGATCACCTTTATTTTAGTGAAATATTTCAGCTTTGACTGTCCCGTTTTTCTTTTGATCTGTTTCTTACTTACTTAATAGTCTTTTCCCTGTGATTTCTCCTCTTAATAAGCAAGGTCTTTTCATCCCCGGAGGCAGTTCTCTGCCTTCAGACACAGCTCAGAAAGGTATGGTTAAATGCTCAACAAATATTTGGTAAATGAAATTATTTTTCTCTATGAGAGGATTAATATTTCCACATAAAACCATGGAATAATGCTTAAAATGGGAAGAGCTATAAAAGGTCATCTAGTTTTTTCTATTTATTTTACAAAGGGACATACTGAAGCCCAGAGAGGGTAAAAGTCTCCGTTTTGTGTTGCTATAATAAAATACGTGGAACTGGGTGATTTATAAAGAAAATGAAATTTATCACTTACAGTTTCTGAGGCTGGGAAGTCCAAAGTCCATCTGGTGGTGGCGACAGTGACCCACGGGTCTCACATTGCAAGATGGAGGAAGCAGAGAGAGCAGAGAGTACGAGAAACACAGACTCTCCTCTTCTTTTAAAGCCCTCAGAACCACACTCCTGACCACCATTTTTAATCC